GCTGGGGGCATTCTGGCCCCAGCAGGGGTCAGCAGGAGGTGGGGCCTGGCCCAGCTGCCGTGGGCACTGAAGGCAGCAAGGCTCCGAGTGCCCTGTGAGCCGCCCTGTCCGGGACTGGCTGGAACGAGGCTCCTCTCTCCACCTTAGTTCCGCCTCTTCTCTCCCCTGCACTGTCCCCCTTCTGATTCTCTTGCCCTTTCTTCCTCTCTTTCCGCCCTGCATCCCTCCCTCCCTCCCTCCTTCCCCCTTCTCGGCCTTGCCCTGCTGCTCCATCCAGCCTGACCTGACCATGACGATGATATTCAGCTAAGATGTCTGTTGATTTGAACTTTTGGAGATTTCTAGCGTGAGTTTAGAGCAACTTTATGAATTTGAGTTATAGTTGAAAAAGTCATTGAGATTTTTCACCTCTGTTGAGACATAATGGAAGTGTAATAAAACATGAATGTTAATGTGATTTGGTCAGTTTGGACATAGTATGGATACCCCCTTGTAGCACTGAAACGGAATGGGTGGACTCAAGAAGCATGGGTGCTGTGGCAGCCTGTGGGCTCCACGCTGTGTAGATGTGCTCAGTGGTTATTTTTAATCTCACCAAGGAAATGAAAAGACAGAGTGCTGCTACCCCCAGTGACTAGCTTATTGGAAAATAATGAAGAGCCGATCTACAGAATGGACAGCTTTCTTCTTAGAGACCTGCTTGGCTCAGGCTCCCCACACAGAGCACTTCACCTTCTTCATGGCCAGTGGAGGAAGGAATTTGACACAAGTATGTGACGGCCTCTCAGATTCTTTATGTTTCTTGGTGACCTAGAGGAAGGGGCTCTCCATCAGTACCTAACGTGCAAATACTGCTGGGAGAAGTTGAGACAAAAGTCACTTTGCTGCCAGCCACTTGGGAAGACCCTGGTTCTATGTGGTGATAAGTGGCTAAGCAGATTTCAAAGGCAATAAAAACAGTTTAAGGGATAAAAAATAAGAATTTTCTTTGTTTCTTAGAGAAATACAAAGAGAAGTAAAAATTCTGCACAGGAGCAAGAAGTATCTGCTGGGCCCTCTGTGATGTCTTCTAAACATCCTGTCGTTAAAATACTGAGATGCTTGGCTCTTTAGTGATGAAAAGGCCTGTTGTTTTTCTGCTCCTCATGGTGAGGAGGGGAGGCTGGCCTGCACTTCCTGATGCCTGTTAGCCTTCAGGGGTCAGAAGACTAGATCTCTTATTAATCGTAACAATACACTGTTTTAACAGTAAGAGGGGTGGAAATGCTTACTCCACATTGACTGTAAAAGAGCCTCTTTCTCTGTGTTGTCCTTGGACCTTCCAGTCATGGTGGGACCAACCCGCCTCCCACCTGCCCATCGGGTTCCTTACTATAATAGAGAATAGGCTCTAATTAATGCTGTGTTATTTCTGTATGTGTAAATATAAGATGAAGGAGAGCACAGGAAGGAAAGACGAGAGGCTAAACCCTCCATCCTCAAAACCAGGTCCAAAACATGAATTTATCCCCAAGTTTTAGAATGAGAAACAGCAGTCATTGTCAAAGGCATGGTGCGATGGGGGCATTCGAACCTAAGTTGTTCAAACATTTCGAAGCTCACAGAGGCCGTTGATGTCCTGTACATGACCCACAAAAAGCTGGTGCAGTGGTAGGAAGTGAGGCTCTTCTCCAAGGGCCCAGAGAAAGTCGCAGGGCAGCACCTAGGTCTCTGACTGTCCATCCCATCTGGTGGCCATGGGAACCGGCTGCCGCTTTCACAAAACCCGCAAACAAGAGATACTGCTGGTGCTTGGTGGGCTGTTGGTGTCTGAGGCATTTAGATGGCCATGAGTTGGGAGGAAACAAGGGAAGAGGCACCCAAGGCTGCCCTTTGCGGTCTCTCTGGTGTGTGGCCTTTGGACATGGACCAGAGTTCCGGAAGTGGGGCCTGGTGGTTCTGATGACTTCCTCTGATTGATGTGGCGTGAGGAGCTGGCTTCTCTGAGCTCTGGTCACTTGTTCTTTCTGCTCAGAATATTTCAGGGCCTGCCCTTTCCCTTTTAGGGTCTGTTCTTAATTTCTGTTGGTTGTATAGGAAAGAACATTTTATTAAGATGGAAAGATTTCCGAGACCCATCTAGCCTGAGCGGCTTCTCTTTTGTTGTGATGGTCTGAGGCTATTAGCTCATTTCCATGCACCTCTGAAATTCCTTCGTAGATGTAAAAGCTTGTTGGTATCCTGTCCTTACAAGTTCAAAGGGCCTGGCTGCCCACAAGCAAAGGGCAGCGCCACCAGAGTCCCCGAATTAACACCCTGTCTGGGAGCACACGAAGCCTCGGGGAAGGATTCCTTCCAGAAGATTTCTTTCTTTCCTTCATTGCTAATTGTTTGGGTGTAAATCTATTTATAGTAGATTAAAGGAAAGATCTGGCCAGGTTGGTGGATAATGATGTAATTTATGGGGGACCCAGCCAAAATGTTGAAATTGCTTATATTTTACTATTGCCACAAATGGATTCCTTTAAAAGAGTCTCCCTGTTTCAAAGGCAATAAAAACAGAGTGATGGAAGAAGGCTTTTTCAGATGCACATAATCATTTCTACGTATGGCCAGTGTTGAACCAACAGTGAAAGATAAAATGGTTGTTGCTAGCTGGGTGTAACCGGGAGACCTTTGATACAGCAGAAAATGGCCTGAAATGACTCTGAAAACCAAATTCAGGTAGAATTTCCATGTGAAGAATGTGCCTCCAGGGCAGAGAA